GCTAGTGGAGGCACACCACTTGCGCGTGCCAGCGTGGTTAGTCACAAGCCTGCAGAGTCCGAGTTAGGCAGTTTGCAGACAGTAGTTACAGCCACGGGCTGGACTCGGTTTGGCCTCTCTTGCTTGCACTTTTGGGGAGAGGATGATGCTTAGGGCAGGCGCCTCACAAAGTTTCACAAAAGGCTGTTTGCACCTGCAGAAGGTGCAGAGGTGCTGCCGGCGGTCCCTTGCCACGCACAGCAAGCACCATGAAACAAGGATGGCAAACGTGCCCACAGACACTCAGGGGCCAGGACACAGGTATCCAGTGTAGCACAGCCCTGCATGTAAGGTGTGCGTAATAATTTAGGAATGCTGTTTTGACCAGTAAAGTTTACAGTAAGTATTTGCTAGGCTCATTGCCTCAGAGGTTTGTCAGCAATCATAAGAAAGAGGGTAAATACCACGCAAACCTGCAGTAATGGCCCCTCCCGTGGTTTGCAGTAAGTTCAGGTTTTCACTTAGAGACTACGGGAATGCCTACACAATAAAAATGACAACAGAAAGGGGAAGGACAAGGTAAACGTAGCATTCATGAGAGTGGCAAAATTAAGAGATGTCTTTCTGTATTTTTTTATTTATTTTACATTTTTATTTCCCTTCCCAAGACTAAAGGATCCTCCAGCAAAAGCCCAGGTCTGAATTATTTAGGATTTGGGCTATAAAGTGGCTGTATGTTTGGAGAATATTTGAACTTTGGTGGGATTTTGAGCACCAGCACTTCTGCAAAACCAGGTCAACACACAATGTTGATAACTACATCTGGATGCCTGAATTTTGAAGGAAACATTTGCAGCAGACGTAGGATGCTGCCACCTCTGTGAACCTGACACAGCATGAGCTCGTAACAGTGTCGCCTGTCACCTTAATGGCGTGTGTTAGTGCTGGAGGGTGTGGGGGGTGATGACTGAATTCCACTTTGCACAGGAAGGTCTGTGTCACAGAAAAAATGGCTCCTGATGCAGTGTTAATGTGTTGCCTGTCTTAAGAAGAATAAATAACACAGCCTGTAAGCTGCTTTTTCTTATATCTTAGAGACATACAAAAGCTCACATTTTAACACTATCCAGTCAAGATATCTGGCATGTGGTAACATGTGCTTTAAGGACCAGATGCAGAGAACAAATATTTTCTGAAAGCACTCAGGTGAAAGTGATCAGAGGCTGATTTTAAGCATGTGAAGCTGCTTTTCAATCTGAGCTTTTACTCACACAAGTCAGCATGTACCACCCATCCTCCCACAAAATGCATTCCAAGTATATCCCAGGATTAAGAGAGCGGGTATAATTAGGCAATAACATAATCGGTATTCATTATTTTCCTTCTTTGAGAAACAACGGCATCCCCCCCCCCATAACCAGCACAGCTAGAAGGGCCGTCGTGTTTCGCGTGTGCGTGGGGTGCCCCCCCCGTCGGCCCCGCCGGGGCGGGAGCTGTCCTTGGTACTGGGGAAGGCGCGGCCCTGCGGGAGCAGAGCCTGCGCTCGAGCCTAAGCCTGCGGCAGGGTCAATGCCGGTTTTAGCACGGGTTAACAGCCACAGGAGGCGGCGATGCGAGCCCCAGCCCTCTGCGTGTCTAAGCCCACTGTTAATGTCGAGGAAGAGGCACTGGGAGGGAACAGAGGCACCGGAACTGAAAGGAGAAAAACCCCTAAGGGATCCGAGCCTGGCTTATCGCTGCAAAATCTCTCACTGGACGTGCCGGTGAACTTTGACACGTGCCAACACTAGCTTATTCAAACGGTCTGGATCCACTTTCTTGGGAGTATGAGCAAAAAAATGCCTCCCTCCCCCTTGGACAACTCCACGCAGTAGGACGCAGAGTGCTGCTATAGCATCTGCATGACTAGAGACAATCAGAGGGGATCACTTTAAATGCTCTCTTACTTTCTTAATCAGAGCAGCGCTTGACTTTCTCTAGAGGAAAAGATTTTAAGTGATGTCTACAATTTGTTCAAGCACTAACATCCTGTACCCAAGCACAGCACTTCTCCAGAATATGTTACCAAGACACTGAGAACCCAAGAGAGACAATACAGGCGTCTGTCGCCACCACAGGAGGTAGGAAATCAGGCAGGGCAGATGATGGCCCAGCCTGCATTTAAAAAAGGAGGGATACGGATTGCTGAAGAAAGCATGAAGGTTTTTCAGTAAAAGGATAAAATTCACAGAGTTTTCCTTCAAGAAGTGAAAGCTCCAAATGGATATGGATATAGTGGGCAAACTGCAACTTGTGGCACAGTTCTGGCTTAGAGAAAGGATTCTGAACCACAGGTGGTGAAGAAGAAAGGGGAAGGGATATCAAACTACCAAATAATCAGAAGAAAAAGAAGGGAAATATGATAACAAAAGATAAACCTTACCAAAAAAAAAAAAAAAAAAAAAGGAGCTGTAAGAGTACCTGAGCTGTCAGAGAATACAAAATAACAGCGCTCTCTCAATGCCTAAGATTTTTGAGAGGATTTGGAGGTTGCAGTGTGCACACGATCTCATATGTGCTGTGTGCTAAAAATGGGAAGATGACCACAAATGCATACTCTGCAGGTATCATAATGCCTAAAAACCACGCCAGGCTTTAGCGCCAGCAGCACAGCTACACCTAGAATGGGAAAATGCAAACGGACAATCAAAGATGGTTCATTACATGCTGCTTGCCTGTCCTACCTTTATTACACTATCTCTTTATTCTCCACAGATTAATATAGTCAAAAGAATGGAATTTAAATATTATATTCAAACCTTGGGTCAGGTATGGCAAAAAGCATGTATTGCTCCTCCAGAAATACAGTAATGTTAAACACTGTTTTTCGTGCCTTTTCTCAGTACTCTTTTACTTGACTCTAGTAGACAGATTAGCAGCTGTAACCGTTTTCTTTGTAGCATATAGATTTAGGAACTCCAGTAGGGAACTGCTGATAATCAATATTTGCAAGGGTTGCAATTTCAATGTATGATTTTTTTTCATTAATATTTTGTAACATATTGCACTAGTTCCATATTACTTTTAAATCACCACCAAAAGTGACAACTTTAATTAGATTTTTCTAAATATATAGAAGACCGAGGGAGGCATTTGGGAGCCAAGCACATTATAGCTTTTCCATATCAGGCTCCAGGTGATCAATCTGATTCAATCTATGCCAGCAACTGGAACAGTACTTTATACATAACTCAACACTCTTGCAACTATTGAAGTATGGCATATGCACCGTTTTATCCTCAGTGAACTGTACTTGTATGTGTAATTATTCAGGGAGTACAGATAGGGTGAAACTCCTATGGAGAATGAAGTGATCTCCCAAGTGAAGCTGGCATTTCCTCTTACTGTAAAACATGACTATTTGACAGGTCACATGCTTTGGAGTTTATGCGAGTGAAGGCTGGCCTGAGCCTGTGAAAGCCAGCAGAACCTTCCTGGGATCCTGTGCAAAAAATCTCAAAAACTCAACACCAAAAGAAAGAGCTACCACAAATGTCATCCCAGAACTACGTACAGCTCTTTCACTTTCTCCCCTCTGGTAGCTGCAGCTGTGTGCACATTAAAAGGATCCTATTTCAGGGTCACATCTGAGTCTCTGGAAAGGAATGAGAGTGAGAGAACGAAAAGTCAGTGGGCTTTGCAAGCGGAAGAAAAGCTTACAAGGAGGGGAAACTACCAATGAAAGCGTTGGGGAATAACTGCTCCTAAGGGCACAAGTATCAATCTGAAGAGGGTCATAGAACAGAGCTTAAGCTGTTGGATTGGCATCAAAGAACCACTGGCTCAGAAATTACGGAGCCCTAATCCGATGTCCGTGCCTCCTGAATCCACAAGAAAAGAACCCAAAGTCATTATTCTCCAGGTGTACATTTTAGTACAAACAAACACACTGAAACAAACGAAATATATTTTAGAGGAAAACCAACACATTTCTTATTATATTTCAATGTAACCTTCAAACACACTGAAACAAACGAAATCTATTTTAGAGGAAAACCAACACATTTCTTATAAATATTTTATCTGTCCATATAGTTTAATGTTAAAGATGATCATTAGCACTTAAGAGTCAAAAAGAGCACCATGTCAGTCTTCAGAGCCAACACAGCCCATTCTTTTTGTGTTTATACTTACCTTACACACTTTTTCCTCAGCTTCTGAAAGGGAAATACATGCATCTATTCAGAACTTCCAAGACGGTTGAGAACTGAACCTTATTATCACAAGAACAGAATAAAGTAGGTAGATGCAGAGGCAGCATCTCTAGAGTCCTTTGTACAACTGAACTTGTTACATGGGTGATGAGCGTATTTTCTTTTTAAATTAACCATTTACACACATTAGGCAGCAGATCTATTCAGACTGTTGAACGTTTATCATTCAGGCAGTTAAGCTGGGAGTCTTGGTTTGTGCGTTGTTTTATTTTTTTAAACAAACCTAGTAAACAGTTGACTTAGCACCCTGAAGTATTCTTAGCAGCTGCTAAGAGTACACTGATGGTAGATCATACAAGCTATCACCTGAATATTAATACCCAAGCATATGAAGTAATGCACATGGCTTAAACCCCTATAAGCAGCTAGGAGAAACAAGCAGCAGTTATACATATTAAAAGATTCAAGGGGACCCCACGACAGGACTGTCATGGCACACGTTTAGAGAGACACTGAAAAGCCTGGCATTATATTACAGAAAATGGACTGAGATGTCATTCATCTCTCAAAACTTGGTAAAAACAAAAGCCTTTAATCTTCTTTTCCTGAGGAGTGTTTGAATTGCTGAAGCGTGAACATATTTTCTCTTAGAGCTGTAAAATTATTACAGTTCTCATATTTTGCAATAACATTAGATGTTGAAAAAGAAAGCATCATCTTTTGCCTTATCTGTTGTTAAGTGGTACACTTTCAAGAGTGACTTTTATGAATTACCTGTATCTACAAACAACAAAAGTATAAGGATTGTGATAATCTAGAAAACATTCTTTGAAATAGTTTAAGTGCAGCAAGAAAAGCATGCATTTGCCTCATTAGGGTAAGGACTCCAGCTCTACATTTTTCCAAAGCAAGCATTTATTCCTTCAAAGTGTTTTTCATATTGGACAAAAGAATTCAGCACAGTTTTTTTCCCAGAGAAAAGAAAACATTGACAGTTGCAATGAAGTATTATCTAAAGCAACATTTCATTCTCGCATCTCCTAAAATACATTAATTTCTCTCAAAACAGTATTAATCAATTAACAAAAGGGAATGGACACCAAATTTTTTTGGTAGCTTGAGGTACCATGTTCTCTCACTGACTGCATACAAGTCACTCCCTGAAACACACAGACTTCCATCACAAGAAACTTCTATCTTTTCCCTTCATCCACTGCATCTTTTCTTTCATTGAATTACTGACGGAAGTGCAACTTACTGCATAAGATAGGCACACATATTCAGAATATGTTTGCAGCATGCAGCCAAGAATCTGGGGTAGCCGCCTGCAAGCAATTGACTATGAATGCAAACATGTTTTCTACATAGTACATGTAGTTGGCTGACATCCCTAAAACAGTTACTCAGTTATTCCAGAAAATCCTGAAATATGGTCTGTACAAGCTTGTGGAATAACATGATTTGTCAAGGATTCTGCTGGCACTGTCGGTATTCTTCAAGGCAAAGGGCTAGAAAGCAGTGTTGGGAATTTTAGCTTGTAATTGCAAATAATAGGGTTTCCCCCTCTTTTTTTTTTTAAATTTGAGAAATCTTTTAATCACAAGCCCAAATTAAACAACCTATTTCAGTTACCTGCTGCCTCTCCACTTCTTACCTAGCACCAGGCATGATGTTCAGTCTTGCCTAACCCAACTACTGCTTCCTCTTGCGTGACCACCCCAGCTGATCCAGTCTCTATACCTCACTTACTGATACTGGTTTCTTGGGAGGCTGTAGGCTTGAACCTGAAAGCATCTCGCAGGAGCACAAATACAGGGATGGAAAGAGTATGCTGCAAAAAGGATAACGCCTGTCATACAGAAAAACAACAGGATGGTTTTGCGCCCTCTAAGAGTCCGAACCCAGTAAAGTGGAGAGCATTCCTTCATTTGCAGATGCAGTCAGTAAGTGGTTCACCTCAGATTCCTACTAGAAGCCCATGATAATTAGTCACAAGCCATTTTCACCCTGCATGTGGCACAGATTCTGTAGCTATTAGCACCAGGGAGATGAGTTTTGACACAAATTAGGGTTACAAAGTTTGTTAGTCTAGATGCAAATTTTGATTTTGAAATAAGCCACATATTTTTCACTTTTGCTTAAGAAAGCAGTAAATTACAAGCAGTCATTTTAGCACTCAGTTTGCTAAAAATCAAGAAATATCAGAAAACATTCTGTTGTAAAAAAAGATTGTTTGCTGTCATGGAACAGAGGAAGAAAACGATTATCTTCTGATTCTTATGTACAAATCACTTCAAATTTACTAGCAAACATAACAATGTAAGAAACAAATATAAAACCTAAAGATGCAGTATTTTCTTTGCCATAAATTGCTACATACTCTTCAGTGACTGTAGGTGCTCTGACTACTCACTTAGTCTCTCAAGATACACTTTCTCTTTCAGCTGAAGAGCAGATATCAAATCACTTTTTTCCTGTAAAGCACAATTCTGTAAATGTATAATAGTAAAGCATAATAAATAGAAATGTTAGATAATAAATTTATTGCTGCAAAATACCAAACTAGGTTTTCTTTCTAAAATTATTTTTATGACCTATCAGTACAGTAGACTTGGCAGGAGAATCCAACCTGTATTTACAAGTATCTGTTTCGAATGTACTCTCTGTACATAAGGAAGTCATCTTTTCCCAGTGGCTGCATGTTTCCTCTTCCAGCCTGAATGTGCGCATGAAAAATCTCTATTGATTTCCTATCAGCTCTTGGAGGCTGGACTTCGTAAATATTGTCTTGAGAAAAGGAGGAGATGGGTATTCTGGAAAAAACCAAACACGCAGAATATTTGGAACTTTAGGTAAAAATTTTCCAGAGAGAGAAGAGTATTTCTTTTCCCTGAAATATATATGAGAGTTAATGAAAGGGCAGCTTCCCACTAGATAATTCATTTACCTAGATTTTTATCACTACTGCAGACCTGATAAGACCCAGCTTTCCAAGTAGGGTAATTAGGTAAGTTGTCACTAATCCCATTACAGAATACTTTCTCACTTCCCTCCACTCTGTCCTCATTTCTCCATCCTTCCTCGGATCTGCTACGGTCAGTAAGTACCCAAGTGAAAAAACAGATCTGTGCCATGCACTATAGCAGATAACAGGAAAACTTTATTGAGCTATCCACTTAGTAGCAATTATAACAAACAAGTGATTATACTCTGAACCAACATATAGAAAGGATTTATCAGATAAGAAATTTCCATCCAATTATCAGGAAACAGACAACTGACCAGCAACAGTACTCTGTACGCTGGGAGAGCTAATATTTTATGAAAATATTTTTTAAATAGCTTTGTACCATAAATGCTATCTTTGAATCCTAATATTTAAACCTACTCATCTTACACAAGAAAAACGTGTAGTTTGAAAGTTTACAAGAACCTGAGTATGTTAGACCTTTTCTAAGCACTGTTGTAAATCAGACTCACTCGTAAGGTAGAAGCTGGTCTTTTAACTGCAACTCTTGAAAACTGCATAGCCAACAGGTCAAGTAAAGCAATTGTTTCCCTCTGTTGAGGGCTTGAGCCACCACATTTGGAGAACTGTGCCCATTCTTGGGCTCTCCAGTACAAGACAGACAATGAAATACTTGGATGAATCCAGCAAAGGTCACCAAGATGATTAGAGAGCTGGAGCACATGGCATACGAAGAGAGGCTGCAAGCACTGGGTTTGTTCAGCCCAGAGAAGAGAAGCTAGGGGGGACCTTATTGCTGTCGGCAACTACCTAATGGGAGGGTATAGATAGTGTAAAGCCAGACACTTCTTGGAGCGCGTGATTAAAAGACAAATCTCAAAAAGGGAATACAAATTGCAACATGGGACATTCTGATTAGATACAAGGGAACTTTTTCCACTGTGAGGGTGGTTGAACACTGGAACAGGTTGCTCAGAGAGGCTGTGGAACCTCTCTCCTTAAGGATAATCAAAATGCAAGGGTACGTGGCCCTGAGCAACCTCATCTAATTTGGTCCTCCTCTGAGCAGGGAACTGGATCAGATGACCTCCAGGGTCCTTTCCAATTTATAATATTCTACAGTTCAAAGCCAAACACTTCAGTAGTAATGTGTTCTCCACAATCAACTGCAAGGTAGCGACAAAACTACTTATACTCAATACATAATAAATTAATAAAGACTAAAAGTATTGTGTAGTAAATCAATTCCATTTTAAAGCACTAGCTATTGTGAAAGCTGTATTTATAAATACACTATGTACATTTCCCAGCAATATTTTAGTAATTTATTTATAAAATACTCCCAGAGTTGAACAGTATAGATGTTTAACCTGTGTGATAGCAGATCAGTTTGGATTCCACAACAGAACATTCAATAACTAACACATTGCCATCTGAAGGTAACCTATGCATTAACTTCTCCTTCTGTCAATACTGTTTGAGATTTAGAGGAAATCAAAGTTTGAAATGAACTCCAAGGAAAAATGATCTGACAGGACTATGATTATCTAGAACAGTGGATGCAATACACCTATAAATGCTAAACAGGAGAAATAAATTATTTCTCAGTTATGAAAACAATTACATACATGTTTTAAAGAATTCTCTAAAGCAACAGTTTCATACATTTTTAGCTCATGTTTCAGCTGGAAAAGCTAATTTACTTTCTAGCTAGCAGCTACCGCTGCTTTATAAATACTCTGTATAAACAAAGCTGCCCAAGTATTCTGTACAACACACAGATTTCAATTCTAGAGACTCACTTTCCTACCACCACACACACCGAACACTTCTCTAAATCAGATCTTTCCTTCTAGGTTGAACCAAAATTTCACGGGGCCAATTAGCCTGTCTCATGGAGTAGCTAGCAGCAATTTTTGATGACAGATTATTAAAACAGAACAGGTACTTAACAATGCCTTCTCCAGTATATCCTCCTGTATTTGAGCAACCAGGATTTAGGAACTACACCTCAGGCAAAATTTGAAACTAGACTACTGTTTCATGAAAAGTCAGTTCCATAGGTTTTCACTGTTTTTTCTAGTATCTGACGCTTACAGAATCCTGTGGGAATAAGTTCCATTATTTGTGTCTGATGCGGCATTCCTTTCATTTGTTATCATGGGCCTTGGTTGCTCATAATTCTTACATTGGGAGAAATGGTGAACAGTCATTCTCTGTTTGCCTCCTCCACATCACTATGTGTATTTCAACCAAGTGTATTTCATCTTTCCTCATACTCTACTTATTTCCTGCTCGACCTTGTCACCTTGCCATTTATGCAGAGTTCCAAGGTCTTCTCCGTCCTCTGATAATGCAGCGAGGACCAAAACTGTGTGTAATACCTGAGGTTTTTTTAACTAGCTTTTCATTTGTCATCTACTATTTTAGCTACTGAAGACAAATTTTCTAAATACTTTACATAATAGCATATCAGAACAGTAGCCAGTGCCAGTAGCTGAAAAACAGTCAGAATGCTACTGTTAAATATTGAATGAGCATATGCACATTTCAGACTTAAAACTTCTCAGGTAAGAAATTACAGCAGCAACTTACTGTCAAAGCTTACTATTTCCAAAAGCGAACATTGACCAGCCCAAGTGCAATGAAGGTTCATAGATATTAGCATTGTTGCCATATTCCACAGAAGCCACAGTCATGACTCACTATCTGGGTGCTCTTCAAGAGACAAGAAGTTATTTTTTCTATAAATGAAATGCAGTAATAATCTTCTAGTTGCATTATGAGCGTAAACTAATGTTTGACCTCTATTAAAACGGCCAAAAAACTTGCTCCCTTATTTTGTAGCATTTTATTTTATTAAAATGTCAGATTTTGGATGTTTCATCATATGATGGTTTGTTAGTCTTATAAAATGACTGCAATGTGTTATGTAATATAGTATGCCTAATATTCCACTACAACTGGAATATGGGATATAAAATAAAAAGGTTTCCACATTAAAGTAATATTTTTCAATTTCTTATTTCAATTTGTATTTTTCCATTTTACATAGCAACAAATTCAGTTGGTTATACTTTGACTGCAATGATAGAATTACTTATACAGGTATACTATTGAATTTGAGACGATAAAATCACTGGTCACCCACAGAGTTTGGCTGCATACTTAAAACCAAGTTACATTTTACCAGGATGTAAACAGAATTTGCTAGGTTATGTCATAGAAACATTTGGCCATTCTAGAATTAGAGAAAAAAAGTAAAGCTAAAGAGTTTGCAAGAAGTGAAGCATTACTGCATAGAATATTTTAATTTTATTTTAGATTGTATTACAGTTCCTGTTTAGACTTCTTAGTCTTAGAATCCTGTGGCACTACAGTGGAATGTAAACAAATACTAAAAATGTAAGCAAGTTACCTGCCTGCATGATTAGGATAAAATTTCCAAAATGCCTACCATTTTTATGCTTTTCTTAAACAATACAAAACTCTTATTTCAAAAGAGCTGAAACTCTTCTGAAGAGTCCAATATCTGCTATTATGCTCTCACCAAATCAGTGTTTTATTTTAGCTTTTGTTGGTAAACTGTATGAATAATACTATGGAAATTCTATCATACTTAACCTTTTCTTTCTATTTTTTTCCCAATAGAGCAATAGTTTCTTCTCATCATCACTATCATATTCTTCTAGTTTACTATAAAACATTAAGGTGGGTGTTTTCAGAACTCGTACCAAACATTAGTCTATCTAAATTTACATCTAGATGCTTTAAAAGTAGCTTGCTTTTCAAAGCACCCACAGCTTCTGCATGTACTCATTTATTTAGTTTAAAGCGTTCATGCTGAGACTCTAGCAATGGTATTTGACACTAGGACACTGTACTAACTTACCAATGTCACTAACACCAAAAGATGTCACTTACTCAAATGTAGCTGGCCTGTCTAGTCCACTAGCAAGTGAACAATTAAGTAAAAAAACAAAACAAAGCCATAACACTAATTTGATGCCTTCTCTATTTATTGATTTGTTTCTAAAGATGTGACATTTCTGAAGCACTAATGAGTCAAAAGTAATTTCCTTAGGCACAATGGAAACTGGACAGCAAAATGTATTTCATTTTGAGCATTTAGTAACTAAATCTCAATTTTCCACCTACTTGCTTCAACATGATAAAAATATATTGAAAGAACCACATGTTCATGCATGCCAATTTTGATTAATAACCCTGTATTAAGCTGTAACTATTTGTAGAGTGCTTGTATTATCCAGTCACTTAATTAAAGTCATTTCTCTAACACTATTAATGTAAAAATCTAATCTACTTAGTAAGTTTAATATCTTACAATAGAGTCATGAAGGAGAGCACATTATTTATGACTTGACTATCAGATCTCCCTAGAGACCTGTAGCTCTATGGCCTCCCAATGAAAATTACATAGATAGGAACATAAACACTATGTCATGAAGAACAGCACCCTTGACATGCAAAGTACAGTTATTTTCATCCCACTTGTGAACAGGCTTCATGGTGTTATGGTTTCACCAAGAGTAGCATTCTCTCTACAGTAAAAGAAGATACAGCTAAAATGTTAGTTAGAACAAAGATGTTCCATACTTTGAAGGAAAGTGCATGGTGATGTGCCTAGCTCTCAGAAATATAGCAGTCACCAGAAAGCCACCACATTTGTTTCAACGTTGATTAGTTCTCCTCAAGTCTCTACTACAAAGTATATCTAAAGGAGGAGACAAAATACACTCTGTTGCCTTGTTTGAGTCCTAAGCAAATATATCTGACCTACAAAACTCTGGCAAATCCGGAGTTTTTGTTTGGGTTGTCGTCCCC